TATAAGCATGTCTATACTGCTGGATAAAAATTATAAATGGTAGACACCATATTTATAAACATGTCTATATTACTGGATAAAAACTATTCTTGATTAAAAAAAATTATTTTTAATAATTAATAAATTAAGTCTATCACTAAAGTAGATTCCTTTCACTAAAATAGATCCTAACTCCACCACTTATGATTATCTTTAATAATTCCATCCTTTTGTTCTAATACTACACGATCTCTCCCAAAATTTTGTTTGTTATAATACTATTTTTTTTATTTTTTTTTGCAACAAACATAGTTATTTTTGTAAAGGTTAAAATGACTAGACAATTATGCTTTTATGTAAGAATTTTTTTAAAAAAAATTCCTAAGAGTGGCGGTCATTCATTGAAGATTCTTGATTTTGTTCTTCACTGCTGCCGATATCTGTGAACTATACGACCAAAAGATGAAAAGGAAATGGAATATATTCTACAAATCAAATTTAAACTGTAGGGTTTTTTATTCTTCGACATGATTGGAAATTAGAACGAACATTGCAGCAATGTACAATGGCAAGGAGTATCAACATGTAGATTATTCCCAAAATAAACTACTTTTGTTTGTTTGAATCTATAGGAATAAGAATGAACCTAAAATATGATTCTGCCCCAGTAATATCATTTTTTTGTATGAAGCGGATGCATGGTTGAAATGATAAAAATGAAAAGAAAAAGAAAAATTAAAAAAAGGGTTTCAATATGTAGATCGTATAGAAGAAGAGAATTAAAATGGGAGGACAAATCCTGCTAAGTTAGCAACAATAAGTGGGTGACGGTCCCGTGATGAGATCTCAAAACCAAGATATTAGAAGATGTATAAGAATCAGTTCAAGAATCCCTAAAGAGAAATATTCACATAGATTATGAAAAAAAATCGTTATATAATAAAATTATTGTTAAAAAATAATATAATATGTAATTAAGGTTTCTGTAGTTGACTATTAATGTTTCTGTATCATTATCTATATATACCATACTGTACACACATAATTATACACACAAAAAATATTTCTTATATGGTATCATCCGCCTTTTTCCTTGGCCTTCGGTTTCTCTTCTAGGGTTTCTGCCGACTCCTTCTTCTCGGCCGTCGTGTGCTGCTTCTCCTCTCCGATCCTTCTAGCATAGCTTTCTACTTCTACCATCGGTTAGCATAATCTGTCGGTTAGCTTTCTCCTTCTGCCATAGTTTAGCATAATTTTCTGCTTTTCTCAATGCAAGTACGCTGAGGAGTTACTGTCGCACAGTCACCTTATTGATGCTAACCCTGTTGCTACCCCATTTGCTCCTTCTTTTCAGTTCTCTGTTGACGAGTCTCCATCTTTTCATAATCCGACTCTCTCGGAGCTTGGTGGGTGCTCTCCAATATCTTACCTTCACTCACCCTGACATACAGTATGCAGTTAATCTTGTTTGTCAGCATATACATGATCATCGAGAGCAACATTATTAGGCAGTCAAGCATATTTACGCTACATTAAGGGTACCTTACACTATAGTCTTCATCTTCGTGCTGACTCTCTTGATCGTATTGTCACATATTCTGATGCTGATTGGGCTGGAAGTCCTACTATCCCGCGTTCAACTACTAGCTTCTGTGTATTCTTGGGTTCGTCTCTTGTCTCTTGGTCTTCTAAAAAGTAATCCACTGTTTCGCGATCCTCTACTGAGTCTGAATATCATGTTGTTGTTACTGCTTTATCTGAAACTGTTTGGTTGGAACACCTACTTTCTGAGCTTCACACATTAAGCTCCCCAGACCTCCTATCATCTTATGTGATAATGTCTCTGTTATTTATTTGACAGCCAATCCTGTTAATCATGTCAGGACTAAACACATTGAATTGAATATTCATTTTGTTCGTGATCGTGTTGCTGTTGTTCTTCTCTCTGTCTTACATATCCCTACACAGTCTCAGCTTACTGATGTTTTCACAAAGTCTTTATCTAAAGATAAATTTTATTTGTTTAGAATCAATCTAGGCATGATTTCTCATCTTCCTACGATTGCGGAGATGATAGAATATGTAATTACGATTTCCATAGTTGACGGCTAAGGTTTCTGTAACATTGTCTAGATATACCATACTGTACACATATAATCATACACACAGAAAATATTTCTTACAAAAAGAAAATGAGAATTAAATTAAATTAGAGATGCAGTTCTTATAAAATGCTGTACCCTCGTATGTCTTCCCATGTATGTTACAACTTACATCCACTTCCATTCTAACTTTTGAATATTTCCACATTCATTTTGCCTATATTATATAATTTATGACCAGCAGAATTCCTGCCATATTCGCGTGAGTGTGAAAAATTTAGTTAAAACCAAGTTTAATCAATCTCATTGTTGATTTTTGTCATTCTCATAATCTAATAAATCTAAATTCGTCAAGTCCTCTCATAACACCTTGGAGGTAGATTTATTTAAATATTTCGTGAAAATCTTTAAGTTATATGTACATACAAGTCATAGAAATGTTTTTGAGTTGTAACCTATTGCTATAAGTAACGTATGCGTCTAAAAATATGTACAAGAAGATGGATTGTGAATGCATCAAAAGCCAATTCACCTTGGTCAAAATATGATTTATTTAGAAAGTAGAACCTTAAAAGAATCATTTTTAGAAAATTGAACCTTAAAAGCATCCAAGAAACATATGATTTTCTTAGACATGCATCGAACTTCGTTAAAATCAGCAATGCTCAACTTTTAATTTAAATTCTCTATTGGTCCCTTGTAGAGTTTCCGCAGATATGTCTGAATTTTTTTTGTTTTTTTTTTTTTGGTTTTTTTTTTTTTTAATGTTAGCATACTTTGACAGAATATCTTGAACAATTGGGCAGAAATCGATTAAGGAAATGATGTCTTGGGATGAATATTCTTGGTTCTCGAATGGGATAGGATTTTTAGCCAAATATATAGCACTTTAGTAGTGGCTGACAAAGGTGCAAGCTGGATAAATAAATAAAAAAAAAAGGAATTTGTTTTTTCTTTTCCTTTTTTTTTTTTTTTTGAAAAAAAACTTTGTGTTTGTACCGAGCTAGCCTGATACAATAAGGGTGTAGCTTATTGGAGGGAAAAAAAAAATAAAAAGAACGTACTATCAGAAGAACTTCAATGGGAGCGCCTCTTAATCGGATTGTTCGATTATGGTTTGGCATATGTAGGACATCTTTATGCTTGTTCTGTTTTCGTCAGCTACTTATTCACTCCTCAGCTGTCTGCTTCTTGTATTTGCGAGACTCAATTCTTTTTTTTTTTCCCCCTAAAGAAATGAATGGTTATAATTTCCAGGTAAATTTCATATATATATATATATATATATTAAGGAAAAAAGAAAAAATTAAGTAGGATATCTATTTACATGTTATTTTGTACGTTATATGTCCCAAAAATTAAATCATATTTATAAAACTAAAACGATGCAACAAATACTCTATATTTGATATGGAAAATTTGAAATAATGAGCAAAGCCAAACCGTATTTTCTTCATGTTTGTGACTAATTTGCTTCCTTTCGAGTAATGAGGGGGTAATATAAAGCTTTAATGAGGTTAAAGCATTACATAATTTCACTTTTATGTTATATAATACTCCTTCCGTCTTAAAATGGTGATCTTGTTTATATCTTTTACTTTGAGTCTAGTTTGTAAAAAAAAAAAAAAACCTAGAGAGGAAAGTCAGTTTGGGATAGGAAGAGAATACTACAGAAAAAAAAAATTGTAGTTTCATCCACCAAATTACTCTTGTGCTTTGGCCTTTTGATTTCTACACATTTGTTTCTAAAAATATCTCTTTTACCATCTACATTTAATATTTATACTTACAATAATTTTAGTATAAATTTGAAACTTAATATGGACTATTTTTTTTACCAGAAAGAGTACTACTCATCAATTAAAAATTAAGTAATAAGTATTTTAGATGTTCTGTTTATCCTAAAATACGATTCTTATATGTAGAGTTAGTATTAGAACAGTGGAGATATTATTACTTTTTACCCTGAAAATAAAAATGTAGCACACTCGAAGGCATGACCCCACCTCTTTATTAATGAGACCTTTTTGCGGTGCTCAAATCAGTGCCGAGAAGGGAAAGAGAGGAGGGTACATAATGTCATAATTAGCTTCAAGTATTGATTTAAATGAAAATTAAGATTTTACTAAAGCCAAAAATCTTTCCCATGCCCAAAGGCTAGGTTATTTTTTTCCGCTTTTAAGTTTTTTCCAAAAAGAGAAAAAGCCCAAAAAAGGAAAGAGCCACGAGACAAAAAAGAGGATTATGGAGAGAATCCAGAGTTAGATTATTTTAAACAAATAATTTATGTTGTGAGGTCACATTCGATGTTACCTTCATGCAAGACAGCCAATCAATTTGTCTAAAAGCCAAACTGATGCCCCCTCTTCTTTAAAATATGTTTCTAAATATGTAATCAGCCACAATTAAAGCCAACCAAATTTCTTCCCCACCCCATCAAATTAATAAATTAAACAATAGTACTAACAAAAGAAGAAAGACAGCTCACTTCCCTCATTTGCATTATTTTTCTTATATAAATGTCCTATGCCAAAAACAAAGTTCTCAATCAAACCCATTCACCCCACCACCAAATCACACACTAGGTCCAAAATCCATACCAAACCGAATATGCATTGCATCCAACAATGTCAAAACCACATATATGAATGGCGAATCATCTTGAAGTAGTTCAGTTTATTTTCAAATGAAAGGATTGGCAATTGATGAGATTAGTGATCTACCATTTAGGTCTTTTTTAAACGTCCTAACTATTGGGTCAATGGTTCGTTATTGTTTACATGATTCTAGACTTGTAGTAGTGTGCACAAGAGTAAATTGGCAATGAATATATAATAGTTTGATGACAGGTGCATGGTACTTGAGATAGGAGACAAAGAAAATAAGACTTAAAATAATGATAAATCATTGAAAATAATATAAGAAATAGTCCATGACAATTAATATTGATATATATATATTGTTCCAAGAGAAAACAAAGAAGTCAGTTGACAGGGGTTGAGGGGATTGAAAAGATTGATGACCTGCATGCGTCCTCTCCATCACTCAGATGGCAAAAAAAAAAAAGTAAAATAAAAACTTGGATTCTCCTTGTCCCATCTGATTGATGAGAAAAATTCCAACCCTTAATTTCCCCCAATTTCGGATGTGATTGCCATTATTAAACCCTAAAAAAAACCCACAGAAAAATACAAGGAAAAAACAGGTGGTTTTTTGAAAAATAATAGGACCTAATATTATTAGACCAAAACAAATATAAGTGAGAGATTGGAGAAGGGAACAAAAGAGATGATTTGTTGACTCCAAAATGATAATAAGCTAAGTACTAACTCTCTCCATATGGGGTGGGTTTTCCGAGCAACCCTTTTTTTAGTTTTTAACCCCACTTCTTTTTTCTTGTCTTTTTTTTTTTTTTTTACCTCACTTGGTAGAAAAACCTCATCACTTCAGATAGTTATAAGGTTTATCATCATCATGTAGAGTAAAAAAAAAATGGCTCTAGTAATCATGAGAATGATGATGATGATGATGGTGATGATACATTGCTGGATCAAATCCACCACCGCCGCCGCCGCCACCACCACCACCACCGTGAGATCCATGCCTACTATGATGATGATGATGATGATCTCCTTCATTCATCTTGCACCCCATTTGTCCTGAAGCTGCGGCAGCACCAAGGTTTAAATAAACCATTCTGGAATCAAGATTCAAATTTGCCGCCATATTCCCACTGCTGCTACTGCTAGTATGTTCCTCGCTCATCGGCGGGTATAAGTTACTGGAATCCGGCGCATTATTCGCGTTCCCTTCTTCCCTAGAAATCACCATCGCAGCTGATTGAACCAACTCAAGGCAAAGCCTGAGTTTGTTTGGTTCAATGTGAGTTAGTCCCGGAACTGCCCCTTTGAAGAGGAAATCCGAAGTTAGGGTTCGGAGGATGTCTAAAGGCGTGATCCCATCAACGGTTCGGACATTCGGGTCGGCGTGGTGGTCGAGAAGCACAGCCACCATGTCCGGAGAAACCATTTCGGCTGCAATGTGAAGAGGGGTTCGACCGGCTGGCCCAGCCGGGTAGTTCACGTCCGCGGCCCCGAGTTCGAGCAGAGCTTTGACCACCTCGCGGCTACAATTCTCCACAGCATAATGCAAGGCTAATGCTTCATCTAGATTGAGCCCTTCTCCCATCACCATTAGCTTCACAAGCTCCACATCCGACGAATCGAGCGCCCGTCTCATCCGGCGGATTTTCTGGTCTTCCAGCTCGGCCGCGGCGCTGAGATCGTGATGGTGATGGTGGTGGTGGTGGTGAGGTATGAGGGACCTTCTCGCAAGGGATGATTTGAGGCGGAGCTCCTCGATTTTCGCCACGACATCGATCGGAAGATGCTTGGCAAGGATTTCTGGCGGGAGACCCGATTTAGCTACCAAATGCGAGCAAGTACTCCAGAGTTGGTGCATTTCTTGCTTTCTTGAAGCTATCAACACTTTCATCACATCTTCAATCGAGGCTTTCTCAACCATGCTGGCCAATTGTTTCTGCAAGTAAAATCATATTTTACACACACATTGTAAATGTAAACAAACAAAGCCAAAACTGTTTTCATCCTAGATAAAAGGAAACAAAAAACAAACTTCTGTTGTTGCAATTAGTTTCCGAGATAACAAAATATAATAAAATAAATAGAAAAAATAGTGGCAATCTATGAGGGAAAGAGAGAGTAAAAACAGTTGTCATTTCAATGGATTTGACATGTTAATCAGAAACTTGTCTAGAAGGGCCTTTAATTTTATTTTTATTTTTTTCTTTTCGTGGCAGAATTGAAGTAAGAATACGGGGCTGGGAGCTTAGACATTAATAGATAGTTTGTAGCTTTTTCCACCTAAACCCAAATTAGGAAAGTTGATTGTTATGGAAAGATTTGATTTTTTTTGGTTTTCATCAAACTGTTGAAAGACAAGACTGGAAAAATCAAGAACAAAGTACAGAACATATTTGGCAAAAAAGAAATTGGCTTTAAACATCAACAAAGGAAAGATTCCCATTTCAAGAAACTACAAGTGTTTGTACATGAAATCAACAACTTCATGTCAAGTGACTTCATCAGTATTGGAGTCTTGGAAATGATGATGATGAAGATACATTAAAGAAAAAAAAAAATAAAAAAGACCCTTTTTTTAGTAGTACATTTTAGAGATTTTATTCACCTTGAAGCTTTCATGGAAGAGGAAACAAAGGGAAAAAAAAAAAAAAAAGAAGGAAGACCAGGAAGATACGAAGATATTGGAGAATATATTTGATAAGCTCCTCCTATTAATTAAAAGCTGATATAACATTTAAAGTTTACAAAATCCAAAACTAGAAGTTTGATCAGAAAGAAAATCAGTGATACATCATAACTGCCATCAAACTGTGTTGGAACAAAATCTAGTACTCACTGACAACATTAAAAAAGAAACTAGATTTTCTGGGATTGAACTGAACCAAAACCAAACCACAACCAAGCGAAAGTAACCAACAGATTAAAAACATATGCAAAGTTGAGGGGCCAAAAATTAAAAAATAAAAACAAAGTAAAACATTTCTCCCACGAAAAAAAAAAAAAAACTGCTAAATGTTTGGAAAAAAGACCCAGAGAAATAGAATGAAAATTTTTGGTTGATGAAGGAGAAGGAGGAGGACGAACCTGAGTGAGTAATGCTAGCTGTTCAACGCCGAAGGATCTAGCGGCAGAGAGGGTATCAAGAGCAAGATCAACGGCTGAGGTGCAATGTGTGTGCCAGCATCCTCTCTCTCCACAATTAGGCCTGGGTTCATGTTTCTGAGGCACAATCGAAACTTGGCCACTGTACAAAAACTGCATCATCAGCAAAAAAACCTCGTATCCTACCGAATTCACCGGTATTATTTGCTGCGGATTTGCTCCTCCTCCTCCGCCTCCGCCTCCTCTAGGAGACGAAGCCAGCCCGGCTCCTCCGCCTGTTCTCGACGACCCGCCACCGCCGCCCGGGTCTAACCCCGCCGGCGTGTCCGGCCCACAAAAGAATTTCCGGAAAAAAAGACTCCGAGCTGCTAAGATGCATCTGTGAGCATGGACTAAACGACCCTCTACGCTGAAGGTGACGTCACTGAAAGCTTGCCCATTGATCAGCAGATTCAGGTAGTCTAATGAAAGGGATCTTAATGAGTCCTCAAGGGACATTTTTAAAAAAAATATTAAGCTAAATTCTAACTCTTCCCCAAAAAAAAATAAAAATAAATGAAGAACAAAGAGAAAAAAAGATGGAAAGGCTTTTTGTTTTTTTTTTTCTTTGTGGGTTTGATGATATTTTCTTTTTACTTGATCATTGTTTTTCTTGAAAGTTAATGGAATTCTACTGCTGTCTACTGGTGAAAGAAGTGTTTGATGATATGATGAACTGTTTGTACGAGTTTTTTTAAGAAGAAGAAGAAGAAGAAGAAGAAGAAGAAAGAGATATTTTGATGTGGGAGAGAAGGAGAAATGGGGGACAAGAGAAGGAGGGGGTTGTGAAGAGGAGTAAGCAATTTGGGTGGTTGTTCTGGGCGGCTGTTATAGTTATATTTTTTTTTTTTGAACAAAAAAAATTATTAAAATGATTGTTTGAATAAAATATGGTTTTATTTGTTTCTTGACTACTGCTATAAATTAATAATAAAGGTATTTTGTTTGATTGGGAAATGAGATAATCTGATAATGTAAGCTGAGGTGAGGGTGTCTGCATATAAGGTTGATATTGTTTGTGGAGAATTGGGCAACAATTTTTGTTAACAGTAATTAGTGCTCGAATTTTTTATTCAGACAAGTTGCCAATCATATGGCTTTGGTAAATGCCATTCTTTGCTCTTTCATAATGTAGTTTAAAGCACAATTCGAAATAATTATCCGAGTTATAATTTTATATTTAATACCAATTATATTAAAATTAATAATTCAAACTGGACGATCATTTTAACGCAAAAAAAGTTGTTACGCTTTTATATGTGTTTCAGGGGTCCTTAAAAAGATAAAGTTCATTTACAAGTGGAGTTAATAAAGTTATGATAATTCACTAATGCTATCTAATTAGTGTGCACCATAATAATTGTGACAAATGATGTTCATTTTGTACTAATTTATAACTAGGTCTTTTGGAGTCAATTGGTAATATAGCTCAAAATGCACGGACACATTTTGGATAAGTCTAGAATGCCCTACCGAAAACCAACATGGTTTGCTCGCGTTCATTATTCATCAGTTTTGAGGTTACACACTAACATTTTACTTGTCATTACCTTCAACAATTTAGTAGCTGTACGTGGAGTTATATATACTCTCGCTGTTCTAAATTAAAATTATACTTATTAAATTTAACAAGTATGATTTTTATTTTAAGACGGAAGAAATATATTAAAATCTTTAGAGCGGATAGTGTTTTGTCTTAAAATTTCAAAACAGTGATTCTGCCTTTTCCTATAAAAAATGTCGGTAGAAAAAGGTTTGACTTGCTCAACTTGCATAAAGTTTTTCCGCATTAAGATAAACTATTAGAATTTACAAGTATGTATACAAGTGAATTGTCTTGTATAAACGTATTTGAGAATTCAACTAACGCATTAAATTTCGACGACTAATCTGTAGTTTTGAAATGCCCCTTTTTAGTTCGAATAATTTATGTCGCATAGTTCCCACCATAAGCCATCATTGCATAGTATTCCCAAATAGGAAAATAAAAACTGCTGTTTAACTATGTTTAAGGCTTTGGTATTCATCTCTTTACTTAATCTATTCCCAATCGGCTACTGTTCTTTGATTCCGAGACTTTTTGAATCCTATACGGATCTTTGTCAATATACAAAACTATGATCCATTTTGTTTTGCATATATTTTTATCTTATGACTGTAGATTAAATACACAGATCACCAAATCATAATATAATCATCTTTTATTATTTTAATCGCTGCTACATTTTCACGTAGGATATGACTTATTACATTTACCTCACATATCAAGTGTTTGTTGGGGTTTCTACTTTTTTTAATCTTTTTCTTTCCTCTGAAATTTACACAATTAGGTCGAAGAATTAGAATTCAATATTCAGATCAAAGCATTTTCATATATCAGTTCAGAAAATAGTCAAATACCAATGGAACATGCAAAATCATAAAGGGAAAAAAAAAGCGATTCTTAACCACATTTAATAATGTCACGAAAAATGGTGCTTCCACTCTGGAAGGCCATTGGCAGTTTTTGAATCGTACCAAAAGAATGCCTAGTCTTATCGATCATTCTTTTTCCTTTGTTTTTTCTTTAATCTTTTCTACTCTACTACTCTTTCATCATAATTGAGGTCAAGTCTAGTCATTGAGGTAGATAGTTATTCTGCGAGTGCTGCAGGCTTCTACATGCCAGATTGCCCAATTCTTTTTCCAGCAACCTAAGGCAGGCTAACTGACTTACGGAGTAGGTTCCAAATTAACATTAAAAAAAAAAATTACTCACTTTGTTCCAAGAAACAAACGAATCGTTCATGTCTCGAGTTTGAACTAAAATAGTGCGTTAAATTATTGAACAAATTTTAATTGTTTCGCAAAATATTTTATGAAAGATCAATGTAGTGAACCCCCTAAAGTTTGAGAAATTTATGGTTGACCCGTGATAGTTTAAGAAATTACATGGTTCAAGCAACTGCTGTTCGAAATCGGTCCAAACTTAACCAAAAAAAAAAATGAAATTTTGAACCCAATCAAATTATTAAAATCGATCTATCAAAAACTAGGTCTGAATCGCTAAAAGTGATACACAAGATCTTGAAACAAAAATGAAAATATATTAATCTTTTTTTTTTTTTCTGTAAAGCCACTAAATCGTTAACTTAATTGGCCCAATCACTAAGTTGGAGCTTGACAACATTACTTAATGTTTTGCATATAAAAGCGGTACAAACTACAAAGTGGACAGAAGTCACTTGACCCTATTGACGACAATAAAATTGACAAATTTTCCCAACAAATATGCAAGAATTCAACAATTTCCATGTATAACATTATAGCAGTGGAGTTATAATTCGAATTCCAGGCTAACATTTTCATAATCTACACATAAATATAATACCTTTCAAACAATGTCTTTGGCTAATGTTTGATACGCATGAATTTGATCACAACAACACACGTCCTCGGAAAATTATTTTGAGGTTCAAAAAGAAAAGCCTTATAGTTTCTCTAATGAGCTTTTTTTCTTTTTTTCTTTTTTTTTTTTTGAAATCAGCTCTCTAATGAGCTTGGTTTGGATAAAAATATAACAAAAATAGATTTGTTAGCTTTTGCGAAAATGAAATTATAAATGGGGGAACTAAAAAAAAAAAATAAAAAATTGAAAAAGTAGGAGTCAATGGGCAGGGCAAGAGTGGAAGGGAGCAGTGGCGGAACCAGCTTTTGACAACCGAGGGGCTAGACTGTTACTTAGACTAGTACTTGGAATTTTTTTTTTGGTTAATCAGAATATAAATAAATATTCAGTGTAAATTTTAATAATAATATCTTAAAAAAATTTCACATTATCGCACAAAATCTTCATACTAAACTCTATATGAAATATTGATTCTATTAAAAAAGGACGTGTAAAACTCATCCTTGAAACGAGCAATAATAAAATTTTTAATTTATAATTATCAATCCTTCCATCTTTACTATTTTTTGTCATGGAAGGAGCACTACATAATAATTATATAATAGTTTTAGGTGGACTCAATTAAGAAAAAACATAAATAATGTTGTTTAAAAGCACAAAAACTACATTTTGGGTTAATTTTAGAATTACTTGAAGATTTTTGGGCCTAACATCAAAGTCTTAAAGTCTTGTGGGACTCTTTACAATATAATCACAAATAAGATACTAATTTTGCGATTACATAAGTTCTAAAAATCATGTCGTCTTCTTCGTTTTCTCCCCACCGCTGCAAATCGCCGCCACCGCAGATTTAAAAAATAGAAACCAATCCCCAAAGCCCTTAAGGGCTGGGATTTATTCCCTTTACTCAAACCCCCTCCCTATGAAATCCGGGGGTCTGAGATTGAAAATCTGATCCATCAAGGGCTACAGCCGGGAGCATCCCTGAGCTTCTCCGGCCCCCCGAGCCCCTGACTGGTTCCGCCCCAGGAGGGGAGGTAGGAGCATAGGAAACCGTGTCGGTCGGGTCTCGGGGGGTCACTGCTTATAAAAACTGGGGCGTTCCGACTGTCCATTGCACGTGAGACAATCCCTGACACGTGCTAAATGCTGCCCTAGTCTTTTTTTCTATCCACCCCCGGCCTTTTTTTTGTTTTGGCCCAATAAAGAAGATATTAGTAGCGAATAATATTCTACCATTGGATTCTTATCGATTTTACAATGTTCAATTACATTTGTGAAGTCGACAAAATTGATAGGGTTTGATTTTATGAAACATTTATGTAATAATAACATTAGCTAATTAGTGATTTAAGGGTTACTATGATTGTCATTACCAGAGTTATTTTTAGACTAGGATCCTTGTTAGAGGAAATTGAGTGCAATACGATGAGTTGCGCCATTTTAGTTGGTCTTTTAGAGCAATCAATTCCCTTTGAATTGACCGAAACAATACAAGTGGAAAAATAGAATTATATAAATTTGTTGCAGAGGTTTGTGCCCTTGAGTGGAATGCCATGCATTTAAGGACAATACATTAGTGATCACAATAATTTTTTGGTACAAAGTGATCACCAATATTGATGTTTGTTTCTTTTTCTTTTGTTTTTTTTTTCTACTACGGTTACCTCTACAATGGATTTACCTTTTTCATCTTAAAATGTAAATTGTATCAATTGCATATATAGACTATCTTTTTTTAAGAATATGTAAATAAGTACCTTTACATTACAATAATCAAAAAGTATCAATTAAATTGCCACAATTTCATCACATTAATCTCTAATGATCTAGTCATACTACAGCTTATTCAATCTGGTAACCCTTAATCGGCCATGCCCTGAATCATTACGTGTGACAAAAGAACTCTTCTTTGGCTCTTCACACTAAATATATGTTAATGATAATAAATGTATTACGCGCTTTAAGATTCATCCTTATAAACAAAGGTCGATAGGAAACTACTCAAAACAATTGTCCGAGTTCGACTTTTTCAGGGGAATTATTATACTTTGTTTTCGATGTAATTGCGCACCATATTATAAAAGGAACTTGAAATACACGAAGTATTTTACATGCTCAAGGGGGAAAAAAAACTAAAAAAAAAAAAAAATCGAGCAAAAAAGAAAATGCATAAATACTTTTATTATTGATTCAATAACACCATTACAGAAGCTGTACGAAGAAAATTAGGTTGGGATTTTTTTTTTATTTATCGTTCTCAGACAAAAAAAATCCCAACTGATTGACAACACATCACTGACTGTCTTATGATAAGAAGTCCTCCGACTTG